TCTAAAAACATATTTAATTCGCAAATTTAACATTATCAATATAATAGAAGAAACAGCGATGAAGACTTGGGGTACCATTTGTGTAGAAATCCTGACGTGTTAATGATTAAGCATTCCACATGAGTACCAACTGTTCAGTAAATCGCTGGTAACGTGGTTTGGTTAAGGGTTAAAGCGGACAAATTGATAGGGAATGAATTTATACTTATATATTACAAGGAACTGGGATCTCACGTGCTTCAATTTCAAAAGATCATGTGTGCTCCAAGATGACATAGCACAATTTCCTAAACCGTCTTTAGTATTTAGAACATTATATTAAAGTATTCACTCCAAAGCTTTTCGTAAAGTGAATAATATTTTACACATTTTAAACTTCACCCAAGAAACTAAAACAAGCTAAACTGACACTGATCGTCTTAGGTATATAACATGATTCCTTAAATATTGTCTATATTCGCGAAGAAAATCCAGGATGAAAACTTTTTCGATTGTCGTTCTGAAGAAATAATTGCCACTTTAAGCATCATAGAGGAACATAAGTGCTTAATGATACCGTTCTTCTAGTTGTTGAGATTTCTCATATTCATTTCTGATTACGTACATTGTGACAGGAAGATGTTTACATTTACTAAGAATCTATATGAAGCTGAAATACAGTCAAGTAATGGTGCATTATCATTAATCTGAATATGTTAAGCAATTCAAAGAATATTTCGCAAAAGTTTGCATACTCATGTATTAGATTATGTATATGTAACGAAAACCGAAATCGATTTCTTCACAACATTTAATGGTCAGTAACTTGTTTGTGAATAAATGAATAGATATGTGAATAAGCTTTGATGCAAGTGATTACAGACAAAATGTGCTGTATATTTCAAATAGATTAGACGTTTAAATGGTCATGTTTTTTATTATAATGATAAGCGATAAAAGAAGTGTGATTGAAAACAGATAGGCGGTCTATGGTATTTGAAGGTCATTGCTCACTGAAAGAACTCAGTGTATCAACATGTACATTTGTTTTTATTAGTGTTAACTAATCATTTTTATTATCCATCTTTTATTACCTCAGTAAGCATCACAATTTGAAACTGTTTAATATTATTCATTTTAATATGAAGATTAACGAATTTTCAAATATGTTTTTTACCAGTGTTAGATCAAAACTGGTGAACAATAATAAAAATAATCTTTCGGCGTTGAAATGTACTACTTTAACCCAACCTGGTATACAATTTTCTGTCTGTCTGATATCCAAATATTACTATGACTGTTAAATAAAGTCATAATTAAATATATTTTCACACCTTTCTTTATAATTAATGATATGGGGATATTAGAAAGAAGTGTACTAAATATGATGTATATATATTATACCACTGATAAATTGAACTTAAACTAACAAATCATTAGGTCTCGGTTCAGTGGTCTAGAGGTTAAGCGTTAGCGTCTTAGACTGATGATCCTGGGTTCTGTCGTTGATGTTATCGAAGATACACATTGCCAAGGAGTCCCATAGTGGACCGAAACGGCTATCCAGTGCTTCTAGGTTTCCTATGGATGTCTAACTTAGATTTGTTCGTGATCTCATTTAAATCACCAGGCTGAAATTTACTGCTTTATTAAAACAGATTCAGTTCTATGTCTTCAATACTTAGATTATCTATTGGTAAATTCGTTAGGATTATTGTAATTAATTAAAGAATTTTAGATCGTTATCTATATGAGTTATTATTTTCTTATGGGATACATACAAAACAAGTTAACATTTTATAATTCACGGTCTATTGCTTTTCAGTCGCTGTTAATAATCCAGTGAGAACAAATTCGTTCAGTGTATCATCAAAGTATTTGTACACCTTGAAATTTTATTTTTCACCGTAAGAGTCAATCAATAAGTCATTTTTTCATAGATTACGTCACTGACTTGAAAATGTTTATATCTAGAAAAATGAACGATTGTTCACTAAAATCTATCTTATTGGTAGGGAAATGACAAAATAAAGTTGAATTCGTTTTCAAAAACGTTTTAGTCGAAAAAAATTGTCATTAAAATTAAATCATTGGTAAATGATGTTAGCTACCCTCAATTCAATAGGATAGTGTCATGCTGTGACGAATACAAGAAGGGTAAAAATAAGAATTTCTACGTTGAAATGCAATAATGGATTGGACAGATCTATAGACTATATTTAGTTATTCACCTTATCATAAATTTATGTAAATAATCTCGTGAAGAATTGTTCTCGTAATTTATAAAGCGTCCACAGATTGATTTACATCACTCCTTACTGGAATTAACGTGTCATTTACAAACTGAGTTCTAATGAGCAAAGATTTGATGGCCCAAAGAAAAACAAATTCAAAATATGGAAAATTTCTGACAGTTCCTTAATTTGAAACTAATAAAATAGGGTTACTTATTTTGCTGTTTCGTGAATTCGATGATTGTAACCATACAACTAATCTGTTAACTGACCTTCTGCTCATTTGCATTCATTTATTCTACAATTTTTCATATAACACAGGCCGTATCGTATATACACCACCTTTTAAGCTTTTTTAGTTTTCTTCTATTAGCACGAAATTTTAATAGATAAGCTAGCTTTCTGGCGATGTATTTTAAAGGTACGGCTTTTTCACATCGACCAATAGTTGTTTATCAACCATTATATCTTTGGCATCTGAGCACGAGAGATAATTTGGTTATATGATTTATCATTCCATTATTACATTAACCCTAGAAAATGAATTTGAGTCTAGGATACTCTGTCTAGACGAGTTAAAAAAGATGTGATGACAAATTAGTATACATTTAAGTCTGGGAGAAATCGACATCGATATTCATATGCTTCAATAGTTAGGAATAAACAGTCGCTTATAGAGCTCAGAATTATTATTTACTTTAATTTATAATGTTATCATTTACAATAGAGAGGTTGGAACAAATGGTCTTGAATAAACATTTATTGGAAACTGGTATTCTGAATACCCCATCATTTAATCAGAGGATGAAACCTAGTGAGACACATTGAAAGGTAATATCAATAAACTTCAAAGGATATTTTTAGACGAATAAATCTGAAATTCACACTTCATGAACACAAAAAGAAATTCCACTCTATTCACAACTAAAGACGCCAAGTCCGTTAACCATTATTTGTAGCTACTAATTTACTGGCTACTATGGTATATAATACAACATTCGTTTGCAGTTCATTTATAGAACATATTTCAAGGTAAATACTTACTTTGTTGTGCATAAAAAAGGTATTGCATATCTTAACAGAATGACTTAGATCTCAAACCCTTACTATCTTTGGTAAGAGATTGTTATTTTAATTCTTAATGGTTTTCTATGTGTATAACAAGTGAATATTTACTTATTGCCTTTAAGTTTTTGATATTTTCATATGCTAATCCATAATCAAAATCCCCATAGTCCAACAGGAAAGCGCACAAACCATAAACCGATGAAAGTCAAATACCCAACCAGATGGTATCTTATAACCATTTATTTTGCGCATAATAATTCACGCTGGAAACAATGTATGAAATCAGTTATTGAAATTCGTCTCATGATCATCTTGGTGACAAATATAGAGTCGTCATGAAATGAGCTGTATTTTTATAACTGTCTATGAACAATGTAGTATGAATTGTTATATTTCTCAAATTATAAATCAAAATAAAGTTGATCATATTTCATGTTTAAAGCTTTTTGATGTTGAATTGTATACCCTGAAATTGTAAGCTTGCAAAAAACTTAACTTCCATGGAAAGTTTCTGGAGGATAAAAATAAAGATTTTTCGAATAACCTACCAGATCAATCAATAAAAGCAGTATATATACTTTCGAATCAAGCACTAGCTTAAGATGAAAGTTGAGGCGACTTTCAACATTACATTAAATGGTAGTTTAATTGACTTTTAAAAGTAATTTTTCGCGAATTATGAGAAGTAACATGTAATATATGTTTATTATTTTATAACTTGTAAAACAGAAAAATACATTTGAATATATATCAACCTTTTTAACTATTTGAATCTGTTTTACTTTACCCATTAATTTGGTAAATATATCAATAAAACAAAAGGAACTTATACACTATTAATTTTACAGATTCAATTATAAAACACCATCTGAATTTGTTAATGAATGATAATGGAAAAGTGTTATAATTGAGATAAATGGATTCTATTGCCAACTAAGAATGACAATAAAGAATCACTATGGGAACTGGTTTATCATTTTCATCTCCAATGTTAATATCAACAGACGACTAATACGCATTGTTTTTAATCTCAAACACTGTACGTTGTTGAAAGTTCTCATTATATGACAATTCGCTACTTCAGTTGGAGTCCGTTCTTTCCAATGAATAAATAGTTTATCTCTATTTAGTTTCAAATGCATGAATAAACGAAGTTGGTTGGGAATATATATCACTTAGCAGAACAACTAATCATTATTGATAATTGTTATCTACATATCATCTACAATATGTTAAATTGGATACTCCTATTTTGTGTCAGTTATATGTTTAACTATTGATAGTGAAATTAATATAACAATTTCCAGACCGTTCTGTGAATATAGACTATTCTGTGTACTACTTCAAATGTTAAACTTATGCTCTTTTGTCATCTTGCACTGAGTCCCTCAATTGTGATAATAAAAGAAGTTATAATATTTGAAATCTGTAAATTCAGTGATTGTTGAAGAGTTTTCAGCCTATCTATATGAACTTGATAAATAAACAAAAAGACAATAGCTTGAGGAAAATGTATATTCTTAATTTATAGTTTGAATGAAAAATATTCTGCCATGATTATTCTTCAGTTAGTTGAACTAACAAACATCTATTAATATAATGTTGCAATTCTTAACTGTTTTATTTAGCGAACTATTCTTAAAGCAAAACAGTTATACTGCAAAGCTTTCTTGTCCATCCTTTTGTATTGCCGATGTGACTTCATCAATTTGTACTGTTTGTGAATAGACACCAGTTTTTAGTAGATCTCTTGTCTGAATAGATAATTAAATTCTAAAAGTTCATCTAATCTAAATGTTATTCGAATAATAGGTTGATTATTAGATACCAGATTAGTTTCAAAATGTAGACTGTGTTATCATTTATTAACTTGCACTATTTGTTTTATTCAATTAGTTCAAGTCATTTTGATAACCTTCATAACAACACAGAAAACTCAATTTTTATTTTATTTTTATTTGAGGTTCCTCATTTATTTATACCTACAATCGCACTAAAATGTCTTCACTAAAAAAATTACAAGAATGAACGTCAATTTGAATACGATATCATCAACTTAAAATACTTTCAAATGTAAGTACTTCAGTTAGACGATAAATAACTCTACGAGTATAATATTAATTAGCCATAAATCTAATTAGCAAAAACCAATATATAATAATTACAAGTTACAGTTAATAGGGTTCCATTTTTCATAAGTGTTTAAACCCTTATGAAATGGATTCTAAGATAAAAAGTTGGGGCGAATTAATTAGATAACATGTCAATAAAAACGTATTCCTAATAACATTGTGAATGTATGATTTTAAAATGATCAACCCATTGATCCATTATGCCAAGATTTACTGAAGGAAAGCCATATTTTGTTGCTGGACGTATTCGTTTCTGAATATGTATAAAGTAGCTTGTATGTTCCATTATTTTAAAATTTGAATGTTTTCTGACGCAGACAATTCCAAGTCATGTTTGTCAAAGGACAACTTCGAAGTTACTTGAATTGAACCAAAATATATTTGAAAGTACATTTAATTGTAAACATAAGTGTTCACCGTTGTACATTTTCATCAAAATCAGCGAAAATTTAAAACTCACTTCAAAATTAACTAGTTCTCAATGTGTATATTTAATTGATATATCAAATGAAGGTTAGTTTTACAAAAGTAAATGCAATGGAATTATTTTATGATATTGTGAATCCAGAACTTAATACACATGTAAGCACACATGTAAGCACCATCTAAATCTCAATACATAGTGCCCACAGTGTCGAGTCACCTAAACTGGTGGCCACATTGCAACATGATCGATAGCATTCGATCTGCACTAATAAGGACTAGACAAGCATGACAATAATCACCACCCAGTGATCAATCAATTGTGATTACATCTCAGTCCTACAGGAGGTTAGTCATGGCTCGGAAAGCTCAGTTGTAACGTCTCTGACTGTGAAGCTGGTTGACACGAGATCGAATCCGCCAGGGAGCATCAGTTCCCTCAAGATTACAGGTACACCTTGCTGACGAGTGCCAAGTAGCACGAAACCCGGGTCCAGGGTTTCCTGTTGACTACCTCCAACCACCATCTAAATCTGAAAATTAAGACTTGTTACCCTTTTTTCAAGAGTTCATCCTGTTCAATGATTGCTTGTAACCATGATCTAGGAAAGCGGCACCTAAAAATATTCAGTTTACGTATATGTAAATGTAAGCTGCATATATATGCCGTATGCATATATATATATATATATATATATATATGTATAATGCGTAAACAGATTTTCAGATATTTCTTTTGTTTCGAGCTAACCGTTACAACTGTGATGGTGAACATATATTTGAAAAAATTTTCATGCATGATTCTGACACGAAAATTTGCTCTACAAACTAGAAAAGGACAATTTTCTTTTTAAATTTTGGACCAAAAACACTCAAACTAAGTCATCAATATCTTATTCCAGATGGACCGGCCTTACTTTATAGTTCTATCTGTATTTTGGAAATCGGTTGGGTCTACTAAGATAAATATTTGCACTTAAAGTTATGACATTTCAGGACAGTACTTTTCAAGTTAATTTGAGTTTATACTGTTAGATATGACATGACAGATATGTGTTGCCTGTTTTATTTAAAATCATTTTGTTTAACCTCAAACAATTGCCTTAACCTCTATTGAAGACTACCTAAATAATCAATAGAATATAAAGTTTACTGTTGTCTGTATTGAAGTTAATTAATCTGGACACATTATTCTGCACTTATCGAACAAGGAAATTGTGAAAAACTAATCGGGTATTTATGAAACCATTTTTACATACACCCATTGATTCATTTGTAAATGAAACAGCTGCACAAAATATATTTTTTCCATTTCTTGGAAGTGCAAATGGATTCTGGGAAACTAGCTATCTGGTATAACTAAAAAATTCCAACCTTTACATAGTTGTTAGAAATTTACAGAGGTTTAATCTGTGTACAAAAACATGGGAGATACAACCAAAACAAAGAAGTAAACAATTCCAGGTTTAAGGTCAAGATCAGCCAATTAACATCGATGTGTACAGGACAAGCTGTGAACCATATGCGGAGAAATTAGAACACCACTTCTACCTTAAGTTTATGCTGATGATGTCACTAGGAAGAACGATGAAAGCTCCACAACCAAATCATCCAGCTCAGAGAACAAAACTCCATCAAAAACAAAAACATGTATAAGTTATGATAATGGTTTTGAAAATATCGATATTTTGTCAAATGCTGATAAGTCACAACTGTGAAACCTGAATTTTATTTTTAATTTTTAGAAGCACTGAATAGTCCCCTACGTAGAAAAAAGGTATGGAAGTAGCATCGAATAGGTCAATTAATGAAAACTTTTGAAAAAAGGCAACAAAGAGAACAAAACAAGTGTCAACACTGAAGCATTTGAAAAGAGTTATGATAGTTTCGTTTTCTTGGATATTTTATTGGTTCACAGTAGAAAGAAATCCTCTCTACAGATATTTTAAATTTATGTCAAGATTGAACAATGAGATCAGTTAAAATACTTATCAGTTAATTCAACTTGAGAATTTACACACCATGCAAAAAAGACAGAGTAAATTACCTTTTAAATAAGTAGAGATTTCTTAGTAACTGAGAAGACTAAAAAATAGAATAAATGACCAGAGTTTGACAAAATGGAAAGTTTCCTTAGTTTTAGAAGGATAAGGGATGTAATGGGGCCTCATAATTATTCATGAGTTCGGATATTGTGATAATAAGTGTAAGAATGAAAAGTGATATGACTACCACAGCAAGATAAGAAACGAAAGCTACCACATCTGGTATTGCCTTTTACATAGGGTTTATGGCAACCTAAAGCAAACTTGCTATTTTGCAATAGTCTGTATAAATTATTAAAATGCATAGTGAAAATGAATATAATAGGAGTTAGATGTTGGGTCTCGTTTTGAAAAGATATGATACTAAGTTTCTGAATAAGCAGAGAGGGATGGTGGCTAGCAGTGGAATCCAAGACGTGCATTTCGTCCCGTCTTGGACTCGTCAGCTGTGACTTCAGGCAACATCGAGGTAATGCGCATAGGTTGTACATATACCAATAAAAGATTGATCTATTTCAGTCCCAAGTATCGATGAGAAGATTGCAACAACATATACAAAAATAAGTTTCTGAATGTTTATTACTCTGATATAATATCGAAACCCACCCTCTAAGATCACAACATCATAAAAATGATTGATTTCAAAGTTCATTTGTAATCTCACAAAATGTATACGAAAATCGAAAATAAGTGAGTGGGTTACTTAGAAAATTTAGGGACTATTACTTTATAAATAATCAAGAGCAGTAATCCGTATATCAGTTAACTTTGAGGATTACAGTTTTGCATATTCCGATCAGTTGATTTACTTTGAACTGCCCCTGTGGTATGATGACACACACGGACTTATAAAATACTTCGGGTTCTTTCTATTATTTAACACGAGAAAACTGTATACGTAAATCAACTTCAAAATAGGTATTTATATTCATATCATTACGCATCACATCTTGAAACTAACGATCATGTACGAAATCAGTCTCAGTGATAGTACATATATATGAATATATTAGAACACTAAACAAGGTTTATTTAACTAAACTGTTTAGATAGAGCCATTTTGTGTCGCATGACTTACCACAATCCTCATTTACCTAAGACTTTGAACAGTGATTATTTTAGTATAGGGGATTTACGAAACGTAAAGGATTTTCACAGTATGCACTCAAATGGAGATGCTGGGTTTGATTTCCGGATTCATGGTCATGGATGCTTACTGCTGAGCAGTAGCATATTAGGATGTAACAGCCACCCGGTACTTCCAAGTTTTAATCGTGGTCTAGCTAAAATCAGTTTGGTAGTTAAACTGTGAAAAAGTGGTTATTCTAAATCACAAACTTCTATGCTTATAGAAATATTCATTTCTTCCAGTGCTGAGATATATGCAGAAACCTAATTCATTTTAATATTTCTTTCGTTAAATCTAAGCTTAAGCCAAGTTTTTATAACGTAAAAGCTGAATTAGTGAACCAGATTAATAATTGGCTAAAAATGTGGTGATTAATAAGACTGAAATGAACTTCATATCATTTTAACATAAATAAAAACAGACAAACCTAATCAGCTGATCTTGAATATTTCAACTGGTTTTAATTTCAGTAAACTATGAATACCAAACGTATTTTCAAAGATGTTTGACTTGAACACGATAAAATATTATAAATTATGAATCAAATGATTTTGACAGACATTCATATATCCACTCACTTAGATTTTGCGAAGTCGTCAAATGTATGCTTTTATTATTAGGAATTTATCGCACTCATTCGAACTAGTAAATTTCGTCATTTTTACACAACAATTTAAATTCAAATTGGTTACATTCACTATGATTGATTTGTTTAATCACGAACTTATTCTCCTGAATCATAAACACAAAGAAAATGCAAAGAATTTATATATATATATATATATATATATATATATATATATATATATATATATATATATATATATATATATATATATATATATATATATATATATATATATATATATATATATATATATATATTGTTTCTTACATCACTTGAATGTAAATCAATTATTACACTACGTGTTCATAATAATCCAAACGTATGGAAAGTGTTATCATGATGAAAAACCTTAAGATTTCAAAACTAATTATATGACGTTATCGTACGGAACTCGGAACTGCATGAAACCTAAAAATGTAAGTGAAAAGCTAAATAGGTCTAAGAAAATAGTTTTTTAGATGATGGTTAGCAATGATAATCAGTACGCAAGTTGCGTACGATATAGGATTCGTCATTTGGATTTATATATGTCACAGTTTTGTTATGCATGTTGAGACTGGTATGCAGTATTTACCTTTATAGTTGTCATCGTGTTATTTTCTTAAACTTGCAACTAGAGACAATGTCGATATTTCTAAAAAGGGTTCACATGTACTAAAGAAAACTGTCAAAAATGATTTTTCAAATACTGAAATGCATACAAAATGAGGTATACTGCATAGCGTAACTGTAAACACATACGCTTAAAGAAAATAAGTGGTAAATCTTTACTATCAGGTCCTACGGAAAATAAATCAGCATTATGTAGGGGTTGTAAACCAAAGTTATCTAGAAATTTATAAATAGTCACAAAATGATCTCTGAACAGGATAACGATGGTTTTAGTGTCATTTATAACTGAGGTTAACAGGACGAATCATGGAAAACTTGAATTTTTAGAAAAAATAAGGGATTTATTCAGTAAAAGTATTAAGCTGCCCACCTTTGAACTGGTGCTTGGTTGTAATAACTAATAATCAATAGCTTCTAATCTGTAGGCTTCTTTTTTATGAACAATTTAGCCATTCTTACAGCTGAAGAGAAGCTGTTTGAAGAAAAGCGATGTTTGTCACGACACTTAACTGGAGTGTATTGGCCATTAGGCTTAATACTTTCCTAAGTCCAATGAAACCGAAGCAAAAACTATTTGATAAAACGTATCTATTTGGTCCGCAGGACTGAACAGAGTAATTTCTATACAGAAGTAAATAACATTGCGATTGACTGACCGAATTATTACAACTACACAAAAGCGATTAAAAGTTTTTACCTAATGAGACAGATTTTATTGTTCTAGTGTTGCACTTAATGATAGATTGGATTCTTTGGAAAATTTTAATAAAAATGGGTCTTAAGAGCAAATATATGGAAGGAATATTGAAGCTAAAAAATAAATGTTTTGCAACAGATTGACATTAGAAGACTGTTAAACTGATTTCTTATTATATGGGTTATTTAAATTGAGATAGTTTTCTGCTAACTGGCATTAATAATATAAAGTTTAGTAGACATGATATATTGCTGATTTACATTAGTAGCTTCATTTCTGATAGAATGAATAATAATTCTGGGCCTTTTTAGAGAGTTACTTCTTATCAGCAAACGTTTGATTATGTTTTTTCATCAATTCAGTCGATCTGATAAAAATCAGGTTGAGCAACACACAGATTTAGTTTATTCTCATAATATTCCATTTTTTAAAATGGCAGTGTTAAAACACCAGTATTTGATAAATTTAGTCACTCAGTTTATGCTTCTATATATTTATGGGACAAAATGAACGATTAGGCTTGATGTCACTATTGATGTATCTTATGAACCGATGTAATATAAATCAACTTAACTGTTTATCTACTTCAGAAATGACAAGACCTGTTATGAATAGATGTCAGATGTTTGATCACACGTACTACTAAAACAAAAGACAATTTGTTTTACAGTAAGGAAATATCAATACAAGGTAACTAGTTTTGCTACGTTAAAAATCGGATTTATGTATCTGAACTAACTATTAATTCTAACAATATGAGGAGAAAGAATGTTCCAAGTTTTCCAAGTATTGTGGTCCAATGAAAATATATGAAATTATTAATGATCAAGTTTTGACTACTGGTGTTATATAGTTACAGTAAATTCAGCGCTTTACAAATTTTTGACAACTTAATATGAGACGCCATTTATTTAATAAACATACGCTAGTCTTGAATATATAAAACAATTGAGTTCATAAGCCACCTATTAGATCCAATATTGATTTATGTTACTTAGTACACACCGAAATGGACTAAGTGTTCGGCAGATTTGAGTTAGAAATAATTATATATTCTTTTCAAACAATATGGATCTGTTCAGATTAACTGGAAGCAACTCAGTTATTTCTATATAATTACGACAGTAAAACAGAAAGTTTCTTTAGTGTTATTATATTTATTGAAACATATGAATTTCAATGCTTCATTGACATAAATTATACTTATGAGATTTAATAAATGAGATAGAATAAATGAAAACAAAACTGATTTGTATTTGGAAATGGCCAAATAAACATTTTCTTTAGAAACTTTGGTTAAATTTTTTAAAGAACTCTAAGTATACACCTCACACTTTATTGAATTGTATAAATAGTTAGTTTTATTTCACAATTACAAAACTCCGCTAGTTTTGTAACTAAACTAAGGATTGAAGATGAACTAGTAAGAAAGAAATATAAAAGCGTTTTATGTATGAAAATGCATGAAGACAAATAAGTTTGAGAAATTTAAGTAACAGTTCATTTTAAATTGTTGTATGTGGTTTATTAATCAAAGATGAGATAACTCAAATAACATGACTCATAACGACGTGTGCTATAATATCAGCAATGTATTTCATCAAAATATAAAAGAAAATTCATCTTCACTACGTGAGTTAAATACATTTGATGTCGATGATTCTGATGTATAAAGAGGGCTAAAATTTGCCTCTACAAAACCTTGACTACAATATTTATTTAGGCTTGGTTTCCTTGCGTTAAATCTGCGTGAGTGTACTGAATTAATGTCAGAATCAGGGCAATACTTAACTGTTTCACATGTTTTCCAGCTACCTTTTGAATATATGAACTGTTTTCTTTTCTCTGATAGTCTACAGAAACAGTAAAATTCAACAAAAAATATCACATTGAGAACTGTAGTAAAAATCAAATAAAAGCTTCGGAATCTATAATTTCGTAGTAAAATTTTAAGTCTATTTATTGATACTAAAATCCTCATAAAGTGATTTCCTCCGGTTCATTGAAGTCTATATTATAATCTCGTTTTATTTTGGACAAAACAGCATTCTAGTAAATAGCCCTTTATCTGCAGTCTTATATGTGCTATTAATTCTTAAGCAATAAAGTATTTACTTTGGTTATTAGGTTACCAGCACTTATAACTGAGTATCAGATCCCAAGGAAATCCAAAGACTTGTTGTTCTCGTTCTAAGTTTTGAAAAAAATAATTTTTAGACAATTATAAAGGTGACAATAAATTGAAAGGATCAATAACAAACTTAAAAGTCGTTCATTTTGAATGAAGACAGTATCACGAAATAAATGTCGACCAGATTTACTAGCACAGATAATAAGTTGTTAACTTTATATGGTAATGTGCATTGATAAACAGGTATTAGGTACCTTTATAATTCAGAATTTATACAAAGATATTAAAATATATTTCACATTCACGTTAACTTAAGTGATAATATTCTCTGAGAAACATTAAGTCACAAGGTTTATGGGTTAACAGATTTATTACTAAACTGCAGTTATCGGACTTTCTATTGAGATTTTATCATATTGTCTATACCTAATTTTATTTACTACTTTTCACACTCCCATTATTTGTATTTTAATACCTTCTAACTTTTATGAGTAATTTGAATCTGAGCAAAAGAAATTATGAATCTTTCAATTTCTGACCATTTACGGTAGTCTGGATTTTCTAGAATTTCACAGTAGAATAGTCATCACTAAACGTTCAAACCAGTGAGTATTGACCTCAAAAAACGTGATGAAACTTGTTTAGTTGGTCAACAACATTTAAGTTAGTCCAGAAAGATGTTTTCAAAATTGAGTTTGCAAAAACATATGACTTTGAAAGAGCAAAATCTTAATACCTTGAATTTAACGAATTTATGAATTAAAAAAATATGAGCAATTCAAATTGTCATTAACTAATTGATTTGAAAAGTAAATCCGCTTAATGTTTTAGGGCTACCAAATGAATTATGGTTATAAACACTATTAATACTAAAAGATTTATTTTCTCGATAAGATTGTCCAGGGATTTTCTATTCTGAAAGATAGTGCTTTTATTCGATGATTGAAAGTCAACTTGAAAAAAATTTCGGGTTTATAATAAGATTTTATCAGCAGCTTTCTGGAAATATGTGTTTTCTATTAACGGTGACTCAGATTCAGTGTTCAAATTTCTTTATCAAGCGCTAAATGATACTCTTGGGTTTCCTGTAAATTAACGACTCATAATTATTATTATTATTATTATTATTATTATTATTATTATTAATATAATTACCTTTCCAGGTCTCTGTGACTTGAACTAATTGAGAACTAAAATGCGAATTATCGGCTTCTGTTGAGGTAATCGTCACTTAAGTTCCAATTTGTTTGACGTAATTCAGTGTTCCATAATAAATCAACCAACCAGTATAGTAACTTACAGGGTTTACGTATTTATAATGGTGCTTCCAGAAAAGAAATGGAAGGTCCTTTTGTTTTATCGAGCTATCTCAAGGAAACCACACTTCTGACCTTTTGTTTAAGTTTCTGACAAATTGTGTTTAATAAAATCGTAAACGTTTCTTGATGGATATTGAAACCAACCAGATTTGAAGACAAGGGTCTTGGATTCATACTTTCTTGACGTTTATCTTATGTGATCCAGTTTTTAAATAGCTTTATTGTTATGATACTTTCGTTCTCCTTGGAGACTATGTATATATAATTTTGATGATAGTTGGACAATTGACATTATGGGAAAATATCTTTACATTATGTTGCTCTTTAACAACAACTTGTAGTAACAATTGAATGCAAGAAATAACTTACGGTTGATCATTCACAGACATTACTAATGGTGTTCGTTTTTTGAGTTAACAGCTTGCAGAAACTGAGTCCTAATAAATGTATTCAGCTCAAAAATGTATTCAGTACTCTTAACCGAGAGACGATGAATACTGAATTAAAATGGTAGTAAATCATTGCCCGTATATGTGCGAAAGTTCTACCGGGTAATATCGTCAATAAATTAAACCTCTAAGTAAGTTTCACGCTTAATTTTCAAGCCCTTTATTATATACAGAATATTATAGTTAGGATACTGAATGAATGGTCTTACGGAATCTAGCATTCCAACCAAGTATAAATAACACATTAAGTAAGTGTTCACAATTTTACGTAGCTTTGTCAGCATTTTTGTTTTTTGTGCCACTAAAATATGATCCATTGTGAGGTTACATTGAATCCTATTAGCTGTAAAAAAAATTGTGAGATAAAACACAAAATCACGTTTGGATTCTGTATGACGTTTGTTCAGTATAACATTCGGTAACATAATTCCATCGTAAAATCTTGTTATATTTTCACTATTTCAGCGATACGTAGTATTCCTTGACTAGACAACAAAACTTATATATGAATAAGATTATTTGTTTAACAGGTTCTAGTTGTAACACAATTTTGTGTTGTTTGTTTTAATCTTCCCGTTGATGTTTAGGACCGCAAGTACATCCAGCTGATGAGTCCCAAGTAGGATGAAACGTGAGTCCTGGTTTCCACTGCCAGCCACCGTACATCTCCGCTTATAAGGTTTCTATTGTGTTTTTGATTTTATCATTGTCTTTCGTAAATCTCAGCTTCTCACTGCTTCTTATCCAGTTCTCACAGTTATGATCATACCCCTTAAACATGTTGATGGTTCACTAAAATCATGAGATCTGCAGACAACGCGCCGACATTTAAATAAGAAGGTACAAGGTTCAAGAAAGTGAACACTACCATTGTAACTACGGTACATTCAACTACCGAATCCTTAAAAGAACGAAATGTACGTCACAAAATCTAATACTAACCAAAATCTACCAACCTGAAAAAGATTTTAAAACATTTTAAATTTTTATCAATACTTAAAAAACCCATATATTTTAAGTTATTTACTTTACTTTATTTCCTAAACTGATAACATTTTTCAGTTATTTAAGTAGTAGCTTTGCCCAGTTAAATACGTTTTCTGCCTATTTTAAACTTCACTACTCTGATTCAGATGTATTAAAAACACGAAGAGCAACTGGATTATGGCTCTTGTAACTTACCCACACTTGGAACTCATAGGTTGCTTTGAGGTTGGTCGATAAATAGGATATGATGACCTTGGAGCTGATTCATCTGAAGACTCATAGTCTAACAAACTATGGCTCATATTGTTCTCTATATGGCATGTTGATAATAAACCATACGGTTTACATGCTTTCAATTTATCTGAAGAATAGTTTGATGGCGAAGATGTTGCATGTGATTTTGTATGTTGATTATTACATTCATATTTCAAGCTAGACACAGTATTGTTCATTCTGTAACATGGTTGCTGTAACACAGCTTTTTCACTATAACAACTGGAGTTATGCCAGTCTTCACCTGATGGTACAGTAGTTCTTGTGGAATGACCAACCAGACCAGGAACGAACTCCAAAGGAAGCATGCTTTTTGGACCATGAGAACGCGAATCAATTTGAACTAGACCCATTCGGTACCCCATAAGCTGTCTTTCTAACTCATCCTTCTCTTTAGTGATTCTTATTAGTTCATTTCTGGTAAAATTAATAAAATCAAAAAAAAAACCTATGATTAATGGATTAGTACCTTAAAATATCTTTCAGCCTTTAAATGTCAACACGCTGATGAATCTCTTTTTCGTTTATAATTGATCATACATCCTAGTTCTCACTTACGTTTAATATTGCAAATACTAGTTTAGAGGGATATTTTGTGTTATCCATTAGTAATTTACGGCTAATTAAAAGAATGTAGGTGAAGGAGAGTTTAAACTGTATGTTCAGAGGCCAAACGTCTAGCCTTCGAAACACAGAGCATCGGCTGTTATAATGAATACCACTTCAGAGACTAATACTGTAAAAAAGCATGTTCATTTAGGTTCCCTCCCCCAGATTTCATTTAGTAAGATCATGATACTGATTCAATGGAAAAATTACTATTTTTTAAAAATATAGATAACAAATATAAGTTTCACAGTAATAAATTAAAATTTAAAATTTAAATTTAAAATATATTGTATTACAACGTACGAATGACAAAAGGTATGCGTCACAAAGACTTTTATTGGCTAACGAAGCCGCAGATTGCACATGATAATATATGTTTTCACACTAACTTTATAGTTTCAGGAGTACTATTGGTTTGTAGTACTGAGATTTATACACTGTTAGTAAATTGTCTTGTCTTGGATAAACCCATCAAATTATCCTTTAATCGTAATAATTGGAAAATACATGAAAAATGTTACACTGTCTGAAATTTTGAACCTTTTATAGATCTGAATTAGATATTACTTATGTTCAGTAATTTTATCACTTTGGAAGCTACAAACATGAAATTAAACCGTTCAATGTCTCTCTACGCATCGTATCCATGGTAATCTTACAAAGAAAAGGTCAAATATGGATGGACTCAAACTATATTAAAATTGTTCACGGATTATTTCTTAGTTGTTTGCATCAAAAAACGTTTTTCTTTTCGAAATTCCCGTATTTATATTTATCACTGTCAATTTTTATTTTCATAATATACTTCTCATTATTCGTATAAAAGCACAGTATGAAACAAATATTTTTAATCAGATTTTTCAAAAAAGGTTCGTTTTCCCACGTATGTACCACGCCTTAAATAAGTTTCAATCCCTGTTTTGAAAAAAAGTTTTTAATTCATCTAGTAACATCTCAATGGCTTGTAAAGCTTCGCAATAAAAACTAAATTCTATTTGTCGCTAAGGCGTTTTTAATTTAAAATATATTTTCAGACACGTTTCGCATCTCTGAATGCTTTTGTTTTGACTGGTTCACATTAGTAAATTTTGTTCATCAGTACCTCTTAGTTTCTCTAGTCGTCATTTTACTAAATCTAATCTTGGAGATTTTACTGCTGAAGTACGTAAACTAAACCAAACCGAAAGGCACTTATACAGTTCTTACAGTGTCGCTCCTCAGATAACACCGACCGTCTGTCGCGGCTATGCTCATAGAACTTTATTTTTGGTAGACACTAACTTTGAACATAAGGAGAAACATTGTCCGACGTGACAACATCCACAATCGACCCATCGATGGATTCAAATAGCTATAATTAGAGAGGCTCGATACAAGGCACACATATTTGTCTTTGTTTTGCTGAACGTAGAAAACCGCGGCAAGATAACCCCATACAGTTCAGTTTCATTATGAAAAAGTTAAAAATATATTTCACGAACAACTAGAGAAGGAGTTAATCAACTTCAAATGTGATATCCACCCTAAGGTAGCTTGGCACGATATCCAAAACGTTGTGGACACAGTAATGACATCCACTGGTAACTTGAATCACTAGGTTAGAAAAAATCAGTGAATTTCAGCTCCGTCTACAAATCTGACAGATGCTTGGAAACTCATTACATCTGGTTCTGAACATGATTTGGAGCAAAGGCACCTTACTTAAGTTTATAAAAAGCCTACCTAATGATCGTGAGTAGTGGTGAGTAGCAAAAGCGGAAGAGATGAAAAAAACAGCGGTGGGTAACAGTAGATTACTATCCAGACTTATCAAAGAAACGTGTATTAAAGATCCGCCAGGACTATTATCAACTCTCGATCCAGGAGATTGAACCGATTGGCAAAACACTAGGGGAATGGCCTTTAGTGGTAATTCAGTAACCTGCTATCTCCAAGTAACCTGAAGGCAAACTGATGTAAGTGCTTGAAATCTTAATGAGGTTGATAAGGTTATTGGTAATCTAAGTGATGGATAGCACCAGGGCCTAATTGACTAACACCCGAGATTTTTAAGGTTGGTGGTCCAGTTTTAGCAGCTCCACTAATTGAAATCTTATTTAAAATCTGGTAACTGGATGTAATCCCATCTAACTGGTTTCGATCCCTGATCGTCCCAGTTTATAAGAAAGGACAAAAATTCTCTTGTAACAATCTCAAAGTAATCAGTTTAGTCGATACGGTATCTAAAATATTAGCCTCAGTACCGATTCGGCTTTTAAATAGAGTTAGTGAGGAGCAAATACAAGAAAACAGGATGTCTGCAGACCTGAACATGGATGTATGAACCAAATATTCGCCCTTCGGCAGATTCTGTAGCAGAAATAATTTTGGAATTCTGATTATGGTTGTATCCCTTGGCCCTAAAGCGGCTTCGACTCCGTTGATTGTGGGGTTGTGTGGCAGTCTGTCATTGAAAGGCGTATCAAAGAAGTACACCAATCTTGTACAGACTCTCCACTCGGTCACTTGTGATCGGGTCAAAGTTTATGGCTTACAGCCATTTTCATTTATCTTTATCATAGACATATTCTTAAAGGTAACTCTATCATTGTGACCTTTCAGAGACCTATCTCCTACTAGGAGATTCAGTTGTTGACTTAAGGTAAGCAGAGGATACAATTTTGCTTGGTGAAGCCGCTGGCAAAATGCAGTCGTCTGACCAACCTAAACAACAATGCAAGCACGTTTGGAGCGCGGTTCACTCTCGGGATGCAAAATGTTACCTCAGGATTAGTTTGCACCAGCGCCCGAATTAGAGATAGGGGTGGAGTAGTTGAACGTACCGACCGCTTCACTGTACTTGGGAGTCTGACGGTTTTGTGCCTGAAGAAATCTCAGCACAAATTCAGAAAGCTTGTTCGGCTTTTGCCAATTTGGGTCATTTATGGCGTAAGCGAGATATCCGCCTGCCAACCACAGAGTGAGTTTACTGCGTAGCAGTTCGCTCTCTTACTTTTTGAGTGTGAAACATGGGCATTAAGAGTAGAGGATATTTGTAGACAACTGGTATTCTGATATAGGTTTTGCCGAAGCACTGCTTGTGTATTTTGGGACCACAGATTGAGCAAGGCCTGAGTTAGTAACAGAAAAAGATAAGAAGTCGACTGATGAATTAGTATATCTCCATCAACTTCGGTGGTTGGGAGATGTGTTACGTATGCCTGACCACCGCTTACCTCGAGGGACGATGATTTACAGTGGGCTGAAAGAAAGCCAGGAGCGGCCAAACCAAGACATGGCATCATTCCATGTAGTTACTGATAAGTGAACTTATTCATGTTAATAGGTGTAGACTGCCTGGGTGGGGTGCGTGTGATTATCACAACCTGTGTTTAAAGACTTTGAATGACATGAATCAAAATCGTTTTCAGCGGCTCATGCATAGCCATTATTTGTCTTCCTGAGATTCTTAATTCCTCGCAACTTTATCTGTTTTTATTTCGCTAAATGATATTTTATTTCCGAGTCCTATCTTAGATATTGTTTCCTATTGCTACTAACACTGTTACTATCTCCGCTATTCTGGAAAGTAGCTTGAAAACTTTATTTCTATGTGCTAATGATGTATGACAACTTGACCGATTTACATACGTACCAGGCTCTACGTTATGACTGACTGAGTGACTGATTTAATGATTATCCAATTTCTGGTATACAAACATGTATATCGATAATATGTGTATTGATGATAATAAGGACTAATATATGATCCTATGGATTAGTATTTTTAAGATTAAAAGAAAACTGGTGTCACACCTCTCAGTTGTTGTAAGCAATAACTAGAATTCATAACTGACTTCACAGCTCTCGTTATCAGTAATATGAGCTAAAATGAGAACTTTCGACAACTGAGCGAAATGAATTTATAACATAACCCAGAAATATATGGCTTCGATAAAGCACATAGGGAAAATACTTTGAAAAAGAAATCAAAGGAGTTTTAATATGAATACCAAAGGAACATAGATTTCCAAATAGATATACGAGTCGTTTTTAACACCAAGCTGAGGAGTATTGACCAGCGGTTGAATAATGTTTATCATTTTTCGTGACCACTCTCCACATGTTACTATGATGAACAATCAACGGTTTATTTTTAAACATTTAAAGATTAATACCCAGAAATGTTTTATTTCCGTGTAGGCTGATAAAAGCTGTCATCGATTTTGAAAATAACTTCTTTTCATTTCAGTATCTCAGCCCATATTTTACTTAACCAGATCACTTTCCTCTTAAAAAACGTTTTGTGACATTCCATATGTTTTGAATCAAATATAATACGTTTATTGAGCAGTTTTTTGGTGACTGCCTTACATTACTAACGTCACTAAATCATATTCTTTTTGAAAAAACTGTCAGGTTCATCTAAGATCAACCTATCACTAATTCTACAAAATATTATTGAAAATATCAGGTTTACTTTGACCTTATTGGTTTTGACATTTTGAATCTTTCTTGATACCTAAAAATGTCATTAAGATTCAGTTATCATCAGAATAAATAAATTTTGAAAATGAGATTTATTCTATGACGTCTAATTCTCACTAAAGCTTGAAATACCTTCCTAAAAGGACGCAAAGTGTTCTAGTTTAATGAAAGACTAAGTGCCGGGTGCACTGAACCAGCGAATATACCTTAAGATTTCATAGAACTATATTATGGCATCGTAGTGTCAATGAAATATTACGCTTTTCTGAGAAATATATCTTTCCAAACATCTTCAGTTCACAAAAATAAGTATGCATATAGCTAAATTCTTAAGTGTTATTTAAAAGAAGTGGTCGGTTAATCTACTAATTTTATCCCAGTAACTGAAACGAAGTATCAATAAACTCTCTTTAAAAAGCTTGCTTTAACTTACCTTGCTATTACAAAACATTACGATAGTATTCTGTATATGAACTATGGATAACAGACTTATATATTTGCAAACTAACTGTACTAATAATATAAATCTAGAAAATAATCAGGAGCAAACCTGAATCATATGTCTACATCATAAAGAAACTCGAAAAACAATTACAGCTAGTGATAGTATGAATTTCATGTAATATTAGTTTCTAATAACAACTGTTGTAATTTTAAACGTCTATTCGTACTTTACTTCAAAAGTCGCACTCTAAACTGCCTTTCTTTCTAATGTATAGTTAGCACCATAACATATCTTTCAATTAACCAAGTAATAATATTTTTCAAACAGAAAAACAATATCACTAGTCTGAATAACATTACAGACAATAGTTTTTGTCACAACGATATATTTAGTACATTATGGAATCCACAGTATATAGCACTTCAGCAAGTCTTTTTTATTCTTCATAGAAGTTCCTATACATTTGATAAACTATGCAGCTGAATGTAATTTTTCTAAGGACGTATAAATTTTGTAGTAGTCAATAACCTGGATACTCAGGAGCATAGGTTTCTGGTTAGGTCAGCCTTTACAACTTATTTATAGAACGGTGCATGTCCTAAATTACGGTGTTGTATAGGTTTATTGCATTTTTACCTGCATCTCTTTCCATCAGAAAATATGAAAGGGAAACCAGTGTATAAAATGAGTGGTTTGTATCTGATAAAATAACACTTACCTGTTGTCTCCCAGATTTTAAATGTCTATCCACAACTATATTCATAATGACATTAAAAAATCCCCCCATACCTTAGTATTTGTCTCCAGCAACACAGAAAATCTTTTCTTAAAAGCCCAGGGGAGTATAATGGGGAATAATATGGGACAATAGGGTAAATATAGGGATTTACAAACTGTAAAAATAGGTATCAAGTAATGGCACAAACAAACATCCTGTTTATACAATAAGTCAGATGAAAAACTGCCCTTGATATCAACAAAACATGGGAAGATCAAGAGAAACCAGATATGAAACCTACACCAAGATGAATAACATTTGATAAAGGCTTCATTACAGAATACTCAGTAGTACAATTGTTGTGCTTTTCATATCTCCAGTCAGAGTTAATCGTCTTATATGTCTACAGATTTGCTGTAGGACTATTATCCATAGATCATCATTCAATCTGTTCTAAGGACTAATTTGTTTCAAACCAATCTTAGGGAACAAATTGGCATGCGTGCGGTGAGGTTTCCACATAATTAAAGATTTTTGGAAAGTGGCAGACCATCCGAGAAGAAAGAACAGAAAGAGGGAAAGAATATACTTAGAACAGTATTCTTCGAATAAATTCAACGACAGAGATGTAGTTTAGAAACATATGTCAAATATACTCATCACTTTTTATGAAACGAATACTACATTATTATCCAAAGTATTTCTAAGTGGTTTTTAAGTAAACTAACTTTTAATACATCATTATTGGTAAATATTGATAAACGACGTTCCCACCAAATCGAACAAATAAGACAAGCATAATTAAATCTTCGACTCATAAAAAACTTATTTACAACACATATATCTGAGTGTTATCACTAATCCATTTAGTGCCTACAGGCTCTTTAAATTGCTCCCATATACTTGAAGAGTTTTAACAAGATCAAAGTTTTCCAGCAAACATAAAATTCAGGCGCTTAATTTCATAACTCATCGCAGAATTTAGCCTTTCCTATTATATCTTTAATTTTTTTTAGCTTTGAGGAGGTAGTTGATTGAATCTCACTAAAATTGTTTCATTAGGATAACAAATATCAAAGCAAAATTTAAGATAACAAGTGACAACATCAATAATGTCTTGCAACGAATCACTTGTAAATCAATCAGAAATTGTCATTCTAGATATGTTTTAAGATCTCAAATGCTTTCGTAAGTGTAGCTTCTATATTTAACTTTCCTCGTTTGATAAGAGGTGCATACTTTTTAGGCTTTCAATATAAGTTGACCAAAACACGATTTATGTTATGATCAGAACTAAGATGAGCTCGTCTTGCATATTCCTACATCAGTAAGAAAAATTAAACTCAAAACAGCATCAGAATTAGTGGAGAAGTTGACTAGGTTTGGGTGATGAAAGGGAGATGAAATCTCGTGACTTAAAATTGATAAATACGATTAAAGGTGAACCAATGAGGGAAGTTGAGGCAAATTCAATGAATTTCTCTTGGTGATGAGGTTATGTGATCCGCAGTCACGTTGATATAAAGATAACTGTATTTGTTCGAGTTTTTTGGAATACATTTCAGCGTAAAACAGTCTATAAAATCGCTCGATAAACTAGTGCTTACACAATTAGATTGTCACCATTCATATTTACAAACAAAACTACATAACCACCTCACATTTTCCTTTAACTTGAAGGATCCTGACGACAAATCTCAGAACTGATTAGTAACAAATTATTATCAAACAGATCATTTAACCAGGGTTCTTTATTTACAATTAAACTACAATTAAATTATATGTTCAGCTCAAGAGAAATCGAAGATAATTAACTTTTCCTAAGAGTGATCTGCCGTTAGAAAAACATTTCCGGAATCGACATTAACTTTAATCTTTCTAATGAATTATCCTAGCTAATGCGATGTCTCATTAAATTTTATTGCATTTTTCAAACTGAGAGGTTGCAACTATTGAAATATAAACACAGGAATAAATTATACAGTTATTTGACATCATAATTAAAACAAAGAAAAACTAGTTAACTTGTTGATATTCAAACGGTTAGAAAATAGTAGCGTAGATTTTCAAACAAGCCACCGGTCTTTTTAGATCTTATAAATTAAAATATCTTGAAAGATTTTAGTTTAAAATTGTTATGAGTTTGTCTTGAACTGTAAACAACAACACAATGAACAGTCACTAAGACAGAAGTTTAAACATACAAATAATAAAGTATGATATAATATTGTTATTTTTAATTACCTCATTTGATGGTATTGGCGGGCACCAATTTCATCTGTTTGATAAAGTGTATCGATGTATATTTGATGTCTATACAACCACTGAATTTCAATCGTAATAGTACCTGTTTTAGGATTTAATATTCCCATATTTGACCCAGTTAACTGCAGAAAAAACAAAGAACAAAAGAGAAATGCTTTTCTGGAATTCCTTTGAGTTAAAACCGTTATCGGTAAACCTCAGTTGCTTTGTATGTAATGATCTTTACTTTTCTGCTTCCCTAGAAAATTTACGATAGTAAATAAACTTTTGCAGCATGTACAAAATATATTCATTAGATGCATTTGAAAAAGTCTTTTTTTAAAAAAAATACAAGAATACAAGAATTATCATATTCATAGTGCTAACTGGAGTGTCAATAACAGACAGGATTTTATCCTTTGTGTAAATTAACATATTTATAAACTCATCGGTTATTTCATCTCTAGTAAGTGTTAGAAAATGCTTACCGCGGATCAGGCCCTGTAAACTCATATGCACATTTTAAAATCTTCGATAGTACATAAGTATATAGTAAAAGTCGAATCATGAAAACCTTAATCAATAAAACGCGTGTTCATGGTATCTGACCTAACATCAGTACGTCTAACTTTATACACATTGTTTGAAAACCAATTAAAGTTTTTCAATAAATCGTGAAAATCACAGAAAAATTATGATCCATAGTGTTTAACCTTAAGTTTTGTTAAGAAATCTTAGTTTTTAAAACCTTGATACTGATCATCCATGGTATCTTTCAACTGTATTTACTTCGTTAAATATAAATATTTAACACAATGGTTGATTTGTGACAAAACATGTTGGTTGACAACTTATCTGTTTTGCCATATATACTGAGTATATATTTCTGTACAACTGGTAAATTCTTCATATATACTTATATAGTTCAATTTATGATGTTTATTGTTCCACAGGTAACAGAAAACATGTATACAAGAAGGTAGTAATATATAGTATGATAAAGTAGGCATTCAGTTTGATAATATATGAAATTTTACTCCAGGCAAAACTATTTTATTAATTACAATTCTGAAACTTTTCATATTTTCGTCCCAATCTTTATTCTCTTCTCCCTAGCTTAAAAGTGCTAAGATCTAGTTGTAAATTTACTGAATTATGATCACTTTTTACAACTGATTTTCGTTGTGTTTTTTTGACATTCCTCTAAATATCAAAACTTAAACAAGGCGTTAAGTGGATTTAGCTTAGTTATAAATTTTATTAGTAATCATGAATGGAGTTGAGATTTGTGAAAAACAAATTGATCCAGTAATATATTTTTCCTTTACATATATGGTTTGTCGATTTAGCTCACATGAATCTTGACGACAAAATATTTTGAATTATTGTCGTCTAGAATATACTGACGTGTAAATTAAAGTCTTTCAATATAAAAACCGCTTGTATTTCAAAAAGGAAATCAATATATTTGCTCAAAATCAATAAATTATGTAATTCTGTTTCTGGCAAGAAGTGGGTGATGTTGACATATTCAAGGATTAAAATGGAACAAAGTATAATCATTCGTTACCAAGTTTTGTTTGAATATTCTTATTGAAATTTTATTTTCAATTGGTTTTTCATCATGGCTCTACATTTGTATATGTATACATACATATATAATAATGTATATAATAGTGTAGAGCCATGATGAGAAACTAATTGAAAAGAAATTTCTTCGTTCAATTCGTCCCTTCTTTATTTACCAAATGTCAAAATGGGAATTTTCACTATATTGAAATTTTATTTTTTATAAATTTATTCATGATTAAGTACTTTATCCAGGAAGTAATTTTTTTAGTCCTCTTTAGAAATACACTTACTTTCCTCATTGACAACCGATCTGTCGAATGAATGAATTTATTATAATCGCTTAGCTTGATACGCGTGGCTGATTTCTAACTTTAAAGTTTAATCATTAAAATAACGGACATTATAATCGAAACTAAAATAGCGAACTATAACGTTTAAGTTCAATGCGATTTCGATGAATATGTAAGAATAATTGGTGCCGTAGAAGAGTCAATAAATAATAATTATTTTTTCAACAAACAATTTGTGATTAATAGATGACACTAAGCAATAAATAAATGCATTCTGATGAAAATCGTTTAAAGAAAGTGCTTGTTTAGTTACACATTGTTTAGTGTAAAGTTTTTTTCGCTGACCATATAACCTGGTTCAGATTTAATTTGTCATAATTAAAATTCATTTAAATTCATGAAATACTGGATTTGAATCCAGTATTTCGGTTTTTCTCTGAGGTATACGTTGTAATCTGAGTTGAAATTAATTTTATATTTCCTATTAAAATACAGATATTTAAGCTTCAGTTGCCGATTAGTGTGAGGAATCAACAATTCTTTCGGTTTTAAGAAAATCATTAGTTAATCTGTTCATTATAGGCTAGAGATTACTTGACAAAATAAAGATAGGCTGTTTCAATGTAACCAAATATGAATAATGTTGGCTGTGTTTCTGGAAAGATAACTATGAAACATGGTGACTGTATTGACAGTAAAATTTCATAATGACGAATGTCGAGTAAATTCAAATTACAAAATTCATTATTCTGATTCAAGGTAAGATCTTAATCTAGACATTTGAAAAATAAAGACTATTTAAAAGAACAATCGCTTTCGATACCTTTTTCTTCAACATCTACAGTTATAAATTTATAAATATTGTTACAGTATATATTGTGTACAGTATACATTATGTTAAAGTTACGGTCAAGATAGTCAGTGTTTGGGATTAAAAGCAATAGATCTCATATCGATTAAGTTTCCAATAACGACAAAATATGTTATTGATAAAGACAGAAGGTCATATAACATATTTTCCAAGAAGCCGGAGTTCAAAAGAATGTGAATTAACAAGGGACTCATCTGAAAACTGTTAACAGTTTATTTCAGAACGATTTAGTTGGACACTGAATGCAGTTAAAAGTGACACGAAACACAAAAATATCAAAGCAAATTACGATTAATTAATTCAAGTAAGATTGTGATTGCACATAAAACAGATTATTGCCTGTTTGTTTTGAGGTAAATTATTTGTATAGATTCCGAGTTGGTAAAAATACATAGATATTTAGGAAAAAAGCAACATTCTAATTTATATTTTTTATTCCATATTTGAATTCCACTAGAATGTGCTATAATTAATTTGTGTTGCTCTTTTGATAGTAAATGACCACAGCTATGAAGGAGGGACATTTTTAACGATAAGTGAAGTATAGGTTGTAGTGTCATTATAATTATGAAGTTATTAGAACCGAGCCAACGAAGCTCAACAAGATTTCTTATTCCATCTGAGCCAGTACATATGTCTCAGACAACAGTTCCCAACAAAATTACATTATCATAAAAAATAATGCTGAATCTCCCTATCGAACTAACACCGAATGTTACTGTGAGTCAAATAGGAAGCTCTTATACTTAGAAATCGATATTCATATAGTTAACCTTACGTTCACGTGAAAACTGGTGGACTTTATTCATTGTATGCTTATGGTTGCGGTTACGTAGCACATGTTCATTTGACTTTATCATAGCATGTATGCATTAGGATACCCAACGCATTTTTATTCACTCATGTGAGGTCAAACTGATAAAAAGCACAAAAATAACAAATACTTAGTAATGAATGAACAGTGATTTTCTAACCGACAAAATTGATTGGATCACTTACTTCTTGACATGTTATTTCCATGGCCACCTGTACGCTACTAATTTGACTAGCTTTCCTCAACAAACGTTTAGATATTTTATTATCTATGTCCATAACACTAGTATTACACAAACTTTGCAATAGTTCAGCACCATTATTTTTGAGTAAATATTTCGGTAAATTTTTAATTAAAAGAATATTCAAATTATTTTGCGGAACGTTTATTCCAGAATGTCGAAGTCGGTTAGATAGCAGCGATTCGTTATAGAAATCCGATTTTTTGCACGTGATTTGTAAAATTTCTTTTCCAACTGGTTCAATAACACGAGTATTGGTTCCGTTTGATTGATAACCTGGAATACGAAGCTTACAACCGAAGAGATATAGATAACCGCTTGGTATAGTGCTCCTTTCTGAGTGAGATTGTTTGCTTTGTATTTTTGACGATTTTTCACTGCTTTTCAGATATTCTGGTTCATGTTCCAAATCTGGTTTCTGCTCCGGAACCAGCCCTACTCTCACTAAACGTGATGATCTATTCAGAAACAGCCTCCATGGAAGCGAAAATGGATCCATAATTAGACAACTGTCAACATGATTAAAATTGTCAAGATTATTGATAGGAAAATTAACCACCGTTAATCGTTCATAAAATATCATTTCTAATGTGATACAGAATTTTGATGAAACTGTGCTTAAAAGAAAAGCGACTGCTGATTGATGAGTACGTGTTTTACCTTTTTCCAAGTATTCACACGAATTAAATTTCAAAATATTATTTTGGCTTTTTTCTCCTTGTTTTAGCTGTTGTTGTTTTACGACATTTGTTCGTTCATCAAACTTGCAACAATGTGCTTTCAATGGCCATCCTTGTGATCCTATTAAAAACTGCATCAACCCGGTATGACATTCACCTGGTAAATAGGCATTACACAGTAGTCGTGTCCACTGTGTTCCAAGTGGTTTCTCAGCATTATAATATGTGTAATTATCTGTCTTATGCTCTGACTTTTTTGTCAAGCATATTTCCACATCTGCACATACATCATGATTATTATCACTGTCAAAAGTTAAATTTCTCAATAAGTCACGATATGGTTCAATGTCAATAGTAAGAACCCATGTATCACCAGCATATGAAAAGTGATCAGTTTCAAAATGAATGGTATCTGGAAATGTGATTGTTTCATTATCCATTCGCCTTAATACAACAGAACCATTATTATGAGTTCTTTTTCTGTCTTTTTTAAGTAACAGATGGTTTGTGGGATCTTCAACTTGGTTTGCTTGTAGTTTTATGCATATATGTGGGTTACGTAACCCCAATTCTATAATACACTTACCGTCATCAAATAAAAAACGTTTTGAGGATAATGTAGATAAATCTATGACATTTTTACGTCCATGTCTGCAACTATCTTGTGTAAATGTACAATTTGATTTGGAAAAACACTCATTCTGACTGAAAACATTTCGATTTTTTATTGTGAATTCAAAATCTAACGTAATAGTTTTCCATTGTGTTGGACGTTTAGTGACATTATGGTCTGATTTATTGATTGGTATCTGTGATGATGTTACAAACATAGTTTCACAATTTTCGGATTTCTGCGTAATCAACTCCAAGTAAAAACCTAGATGAGTATCGGTCCTTTCGAATCTTACAAACCATTCGTGTTCAGCATATTGGAATACTTGCGTCTCGACATAATTAACTAAACCACATAAAAGATGTGGTAGCAAGAGAAATGTAAATATTTGTGAATTTGCTGCATCATTTAAGTGAACGTAGCGATGTAATGGACCAAAACATATACTTCCATCATCAAATTTTTTTTTCCTCTTGTTTATCTCGGATTTTTGTGATTCAAATGAATAAGTTCCTCGGGAATGAGGTAGATTTGTCATAGATTAATTCAATAATGAACGTTAAAAGCAGATACTAAACCATACTTTCTTATTGTAAGTATTTTGTCAGAAATATCACAGTTTATCGAGTTTGTATGTCAATCCCAAATCTCAAATTCTAGTTGGCTAAGATTTGATTGGACCAACAGTGAAGTGAAAATCATTGGATGATAAAATTTGTCCTCATATAGTAAGTTACTTTATAAAAGTAAATAAACTTTACTCATGATCAACAAATCATTATGATAGTCCCATAGTTTATTTAAAGTGCTGAAGTTAATTTGTATATACTCACTATCATTGTGTTAAGTATAGATTAGTGAATGATGTTAAATATAGCAGTCACTATAGTTTTAGGTATTGTTTAGTTTACAAAGAAGGTTTATTTATGAACTGTAACACGACTTTTCAAAAGCCCTCCGAATGTACTGGCATAAATATAGCATGAATTAATAACTATCCAAGCATTGTCCAACAACAGAAATAGCAGTTACGAGAAACTATAATTCAGTAATACAACAGATTTCTTGTTTCACAGCTTTCCTATTCAATCTGATAGTATTCGTCCGGCATAATAAACATTTTTAGTAAATAAGTATAAAATCTTGGATATGTTCTCAATGCAAAAAAAACAGACAATCTTTCAGACAATGCTCAAATTAAACGACTTAAAGCATTTCTCTTAAATGCTTCATTTATAAACAATCCAACCAGCCAACCGATAAAAAAGTGGAAGAAAATAGATAATCAATTAACACATGGTTATTTTTGTCATCAATTTGTTAAGTCAACATATTCATTCCTAACTTGTCGATAGTGATGCTAATCTTGGGAGATTTAACGACATTTCTCGATTTTACGAACTTTTAGTGGCAACATGTTAATTGCCCTTTAAGTTCGATAGGTTTCGTCATTTAATATACAAATATTGAGTAAGAAAATGCAAATGAACTATAAGGACCACTATAATCTGGAATCTATCACATTTAATCTACATATAAATTCATTTATACAATACTTAGTTTCAAAATAATGATAATTTACATAGTTGAAAGTGGTCTTTTTATTTAAATATGGAGGACAGGAGTGAAGCAAATTAAACTAATTCCACAAACTTAAGCATTTGATTTCTGTAGGTTATAAGATATCCCAATATGTTACTTTATTTTATACTCAGTACAGTAATGTATGACCAGAAACCGGTTGCACAGTAGTAGTTACATTTCCGTGAAAAAGGGAATTTATGGGCCATAAGAAATGTGAGTTTTATTAATCTGAAATTTGAAATACGATGTTATGCGAATGATAATCATGAATTCTGGACAGAGGTAATTTTTGTCATAAAAATGATTAAGTAGAAACATTTCTGCTAACTCAATTACATAATATAAAGAAGTAAAGACATGGAGGATAGATGAGTCTAGCAAACAGTTTTGAACTAGACTTTCTAGACCATTGATAACTACAGACAGTTGCCACAGACTAAAAACACTGTTACGATAAAAAATTATATGTAAATCTTCCAACGAAAGTGTTGTTGGTGATATTCAAAAATCCATTTGGAGAAGTCATTCTGTTTTCTAGAAATTTACAGTAAAAAATAAACAACTTGAGTGATTAAGTTTCTAAATGTACAAAAAATTTCAAAATTCTATCTGTCCGTATACATTTTGTAGATTATTTTTCATCTAAAACAAAGGTTGAACTCAGAGGTTATAGCCACTTCACATAGTCTCTAACTTCAGCAATATGTAGTCATATGCAACAACGTAGTTTAATTATTGTAAATTTTCATACGTCCTGAGAACAGCAAAAATTAAAATAGTTTATCTGGTAGATAAGATTTTGAAATCCTGGATGGCAGAAGGACTTACGATGAAGTGCAAATGTGGTTGTAAAAGACATGAATTAGTAATGTTCATATAAATTATATATAAATTATTGTTATTTAGGACTGATTAGTCCACTTAAATATGCTGCATATTAAAAGTGAATAAATAAATGTGGCACCTTTCCGAAACGTCACACAATAAAGAGAAATTCAATCGAGTTATCGAAATTATTTTATTATATTATATAGCTGCAGAATAGGTAGGAAAAGTTTTGCTATGCTTCAGATCCGTTGAAATTCATCTGAAAATCTCCGTGAACATTCAAAACTGTTATTTACATGACATTATGACGATGTACACTAATCATTCATGTGATCGCTTGGGAGGTTTTCAAAAACAGTAATGCAAAAATATCATTCTAACATAAACATGTTATTTAATGTAGACTAACTATACCTATTTGAGCTCTAATACTCTTGTTTTTGATATTTCACTATAATCAAATACATAGATTCTAAACAGTTTGCAACATTAATGGATACTGGGTATTGATTTAATCCATCATGTAGTTTTAGTTTTGTTTAAGATATATCAACCTTATATAATTGGATCCCTTATGCCCGCACTTACACTTGAATGGACAGCTACTGCCTCAAACAGCAGTGATTAATCCACTAGAAATGATTCACTATAGTTACTAACTTGTTCAGCAAGTATAATAATTATTATAACAGGAGAATAATAGACAAATATGACTGAAAGATAGAATAATTGAATCATCTCAGCCATACAAAATACTTCTTTTGTCTGAATGAAAATCCAACTCTTTGAAAATGGAAAGCTGATTGAAACGTCAATCATAAAATAATTTACTCTCCGTTAATTTGATAAGCTTCACTCGAAATTTTTTACAGTAGATGAAATAACTCATTCTTTTAAGTGGTTAAGCTATTTGTGAATTTCTAATGATACCACTGAGGATTTTTGAATAACTGTAAAGCTAAAAATGATTATACTTCTGTAAACATTGTACATAACTGTTCAGCATACAGTAGACACAAAGTAACTCGTAATCATTAGTTATATGATATATGAATGTCTTTTAATGGATACTGCTTATCATAGTTTGAAAATAGCTTCACTGCTTTTTGTATCAATAGTTTGAGTCGGAAATATTCGTTTCTGTGCACACATACACATACATGTCGCTTATAAATCAATTTGACCGAAATCATATGACATTGACTTGTTCAGACCTGTTTTTTGATCGATCGCACATAATGTTCTTGCGTTGTTCCTTTGTACTATTTATACTTGGATTAAGTTTGATTTGGTTATTTATTCTATGAAGAAGTGACTTACACTGAGACACGAAACGTCAGGAAATCTAATGTTTCTACTCATTCGTATATTACAAATTTATCAACTTATTTACAATATTTGTTTCTGTTTCACCACTGTGCCAACTATAAAGTCCTACATATAAGTCAATACAGTAAATAACAGGCTAACATTCCATGGGAAATACGTCGTGGACCTTTTGAACAGCTTTAGTTCCACAGAAATCCGAACTGGTTGATTACCTCAAAGTTTTTTTATTAAGGAATGTTTCTTTAGTTTTTTTCTGAAACATGAGATGTTAAGCCCTTTCGATCTAACAAATTCAACGTTTCTAATATTACTAGAGTGTGATGAAACTTCTACTGATAAACAAGTACATTTATCAACAGTGTTTAGCTGATTGTCTATTTGGAAGGCACAATTATCAGGAAGGTCAATATTTTTATTATTTTCAGCCCGTTATGTTTCATTATCAGTAACTTATAGTTCCATATGTCATCAAACTTAAAAGATCACTTTTTAAACATTTTACTCCCACTAAAATTTATCAACGTAGTATCAAGTGTTAAGCCCTAACTGTTTCATGATCTAAATTATTTTTGACCAGTCTAAGGTTCAACAATAGTTGTGAAATACTCTTTAATTCGTTAAGTAATACACCAGATCACAGACACACTAATTAGCGAGCCTCTTAAAACCTGAGAGCACTAAGCATTTGTTTCAATTTGGTTTTTTACGCAGCAGTGTGGACTGACAGCTCTACATAAACCGTGTACCTAGTTTGAAATTTTTCTAGACGGGATATTGGTTAACCATGAAAAAAGTCTTCAAACTGAACAAAACAGTATAACTCACCTATCTAAATGATTCATTAATTCAACGAAATTTTAATAGCGCGTCGAAGATGTTTTGGAAGCTGAACTTGACGGGTACATCAATTGTATTTTTTCATCATTTTAACTCTTAAGAATCATTCAAATAAATTTAATGAATATTTCAACCGTGAAATTAAAATTCATCTCATGCGTATTAATTAAAATCCATCGTTTTCAGTATTTTAGAAAACTGAGTCAGGTTTATCAATATACACTTAGTGCAGAAGGAGAGTACTTTAAAGAAACAATATTCCTTAAAACATTCAAAGTAGGTACTAAAATCGGATTTATTGATAAGAAAAAGCCGTTCTGTTTTCTAACTTATCAGCTGCTTTGTAGTAATGAATGCGTTGAAAACAGTATCGAACGCCTTACAATAAATTATTGATAATGTTTCTAATACGGATTACTATTTAATTATGTCTTGCTTTATCGAATACAGAAGTGAGTTCTGAAATGTCGGAGTTTATGCTTATAAGAGATTATTACATTTCTGAAAATTGCTAGTTCATTCTAATTTCCTTTATTCTTGCATAAGCACGTTCATCTCTCTTAACAGTTATCAGTTCCCAATAATAATTAGAATGTAATGAAGACGTTATCTAATTACTTCCGACTACACTTCCAGCTACTAGATCAGACCTAAAGAATGTGGTGAAGATATTTTGTCCCAAAAATAGCTTGTTATCCGAAGCTAATAAGTCTTATTCAATAATGTTTCAAACGTTTTTTGTATCAAATTGTTCATTTGAAGAAACCTTAATTTAAACATATATTTGCAAGCATTTAATACCCCTGTACCATGTTTTTGAAACTAACTTCAAACGGATGTTTCACCAATGAGAAATGTGATATACGGATAGAGAAACCATTAGATGTAAGATAAAAGGCGAAAATATTCAGTATTTTGGTCAGAGCCAGTGCGTAATACGTTATGAATCAATTTAATGAGAACATGATAGGTGTATTCGGATGCCTCAATCAAAATACCATTCTTTTAGCTAAG